GACACTTTTAACTTTCCTCGATCGTATCCTTATTTGAAATTAATTTAATTTCCCTTTACGTGTATCCTCAATGAAAAAATTTCCTTTCGTAGACGAAATTTTTTCGCTAGCGAATAAGTCGTTTTCAAAGGAACTGGTTGGACAAGCGATCAGTCGTCGAAATGCAGCTGTAAGCGCACAAAGCGGGAACTGTTGCCGCGCGAAACGAGCCAAAAATTGATTGGATACGAGCAACCGCTGCCCCCCTTTGCCAATTACACGCGCGCCGGCCGACCCTCAAAGTCATTTTCCTCGAAAACGGTGGTCCGAGCGGAAAAATTTAAATCCGCGCAATGGAAACGAGAGAGGCGACGATCGAACCTGAGTTGTATGTATCGCGCGTAGCCCGTCGTAAAGACTTCAACATGATTGGCTCGGTTGACCTTCATTAACTGGAACGTAAGTCACCGGACTCGCCTTTATCCGAGCGAATAATCATCGATCGTAATGAACAAACCTCGCCAACTAATTGGAACAGATTGCACGTACGGGCGTATTGTGAGCGGCGATCTGCGCGTCGCGTTCCTTCACAATTAACCATTCGCTGCCTTGTCGAAAAATTGCAACATGCCCGTTCGAGGTTGACCCCTAACGCTGCTTAGGCCGATACGATTTCTGATGTGTCATTCTCGTTGTTAAATGGATCTAATGCTGTCACTTGGGATCGTCTTTGTTACTGTGTTAGTCTTTTATGCTAGCATTATATTAGGTTATCCCGGATGAGCTAATATTTGAGTATAAATAGTTTGCATAAAGGGAAGGTACCAGGCACAGGCTAATTTTCAATATAACCCCTCGAGATACTTTGCAGTGCATACAAATACAGTGGAGGTAAAACAAGAAAGATTTCAATTTTGCAGTCTCAATCAAGCTATCCTTTGTTTGTCGTTGTCCCTTCTGGACAAATGGAAGGTCTTCTCCAAGCAAGCATGCGTAGCCAATGAGTACCATCGCCTGCAAAACCTACTAACGACGCAAAAAAGAAGGCACGATAGGTGTGCTCTATTGTCGGCTAGCCGAGCCAGGTGAAACAGCCACGGTAGATCGTTATCACCATCAATCGATCAATTTGAGCGATGAATTGGAGCGTTTACTGGTCAAGAAAACGGTTACAGATTATGCCGCTGCCGCATGACTGGGGCCACGCATTGCTCAAAGAACGTCATCGTCAGCTTGGGCTGGGATTTTCTTGCGCGCGTGTTCTTCAGGCTTGGCACCGTCGTTCGCCACCTGTTCTGGTCGCTTCAGCGTCTCTTGATCCACTCACACTTCGCTTGCAACAATCTGTATATAACGATTCCCAAGCGTCCATGCGCGTCGTCAGTCGCTAATCCCTGGAAAGCGTGTCCCTCTCAGTTCCTAATTAATATCTTCCCCCCTCGCATCGCACTCTTTTTCACCACGGTTCCTCTGACCTGGTCGTCGCAGTCAGTAATGAAATGGGTCCTCTCTTTTGAATTTCCATCGAGCGACCGATGCGCTCCAGGGCGTCGACGCCCGCCACGATGAAAGCCTGTCGTCCAGATGGCCCGATAAGCCGAACCGGTAATTAATAATTAACGGTTAACAATTAAGAGTGAAATTAGCACGTAACGCCGCCAGGTTTAATTGGACGTAACACAGAGAGGCCAGAGCAGGTGGTGCGCGACGATACGACGCGATTTCTTCGACGTCTGAATTTAATTTCCTCCTCGAGGTTGTACACCATCGGCTGATAAATATTGGGGCCCTTTCGGACAGCCGCGCGATCCTCGAGCCTCCGTGTAATTAAATCCGGTAAAAATCATTTCGAACCGCGACGACGTTCACTCCAAATGGGGCTGCTTGTTATCTGGATATAGATTTCCATCTATTAATAAGAGATAAATAATCTTTCGTTCGTTCTCCATAAAAATTACTAGTCTCACGTCGTGTGCCACGCTAATTTTTGTGAACACTTTTACGAAACTAAAATTTTATGTTGAAATAATTCGAAACTATAGTAGTTTGGCAAAACCAAGCAAGCAAGCAATGAACTATTTCACTCGCCAAGCATGGTCTCGGGTCTTTATCCGGCGACTCTGTTGCCCGTAGTGAACTCAGGCACGGCAGTTAAGTGGTTAATAGACGCACGGCGGGTTCTATTTCGACGTTTCGTGTAGAGAAACTTGAAACGAGTGAATTCAAATGGGGATTCTTCGTATCGCGAGGTGAATTCGGAGTACGTCGGTGACGGGGGACAGAAAAGTTGAGAAAGACAAAACACGGAGGGAGATTTAAGCTGAAGTTTTAATGCGATCTTATTACTGTTCCCGGTGATATTAAGGCCTTTCATTAATCTCGCTGCATTGTTCAAAACCGCCGCGCGCACGGGAAGCTTTCTAATGCAACTTCTACGCATCCATTTGCTCCGAGGTTTCGCGACTTTGTCGCTCGACATCAAAGGGGGGAATGGGAATAAAATTTTGCGCTGCTGCCCGTTACGCTTAGCGTCGACTTCTTCGCCGTGATGCAACATCATGTTGATGGCGCATTGTGCTGGACACCTGGAACGTGACACTCGTTCCTGGACTCCAAGCCAGATGTGTAAGGCGAAATCTGAGTGGTTCCAAAGGTAGAAGATTATCAACCCTTCTCCTATGAAGTGGAAATTGTAAGGCATGAAAACAAACACGCGAGAGCCAATAACACGATAAATTGGATATTCCGTGGCTACCTGGGGGTGTAGTTTTCCTCGAAAACGGTCGGGAACGGGCACCGTTATGTCCCCGGTACCCTAAATGCCCCAGCGGCTGAAATAAGGCGACGCGGAACAGCCCCGAAGAAAAGGTACTCGTTACCCAGGGTCTCGGGACAAAAAGACACAAGTTTCGGCTAGGTCGGCAATCGCGTCCCGAAACGGCACCCGCTGAGCTACCAGGAAGGACGATTATTGTTAATTAAGGTGGGCGTGTCGGGCAGGTCACACGCCGGTTTTCACAGGCCTTAACGAAGGGACAGGTCAGCTCGTTTTATGAATTCTAATGCCATCCCCGGTATTCGGTGGTTCACGAAATTTCTCTCCGCATTTGCATTTCGTCGGCGCATAGCGCGAGGGAGAGGGAGAGGGACAGAGAGTTGCTCCGACCGACGACTTTTAACCTCGTTCGCCGCTTTTAACGTAATTAGCCCGCCTATTCACCGCTGCCACTCCGACGAATTATCAAGTGTTGACGGTCGCGAGGTATTTGATAACCAATCAAACGCTATTGTCCGTGGAACGCTCCTAATGAAGCTTTAACTTTAGGTGGCCACATGAAAGAGCCTCCTGAGGCTTCTTATTTGTTGATTTTTTAATTTGAGTTCTATTTGCTATAGTGGAAGGTTTTTCTTAATTTTGTCTAAAACTTGGTGGTGCTTTCAATCGGGTAGTTTGATAGTTTTTGACTATATGAAAGCTTTCGATAAATATGATCATTTATAGTTTAACTTGTTACTTGTAAGAAAAGAAATCGAAAAGTCCTGGTACACGGAACGGCTGTACCACGCGTGGAATAGTCGGTGGAAGGCGACGATGAGTTAACGAGATTACTGCGCAGAGGAAAGCGAGGAAATCTGATTGGATGCCGGAAAACATCGCGAAAGGGGTGTAATTAGTACCGGCTTTGTTCGACGTCGCCGCAACGCGCGCTTCGTTTCCGCCGATGCCGACGTTAGCTCTGTTAGTGCGTTATGATCGAAAAGACTATCTTCCTCCCATCGATTACGACGAATCTGTGTTTTCCTGAGTCTCGTTCGATCCGAACTAGCAGCTGGAAAATTAGACCTTTGATGTGGTTATGCCTACGCCAACCACACGAGATCGAACAGACGCGAGAAAACGTAAATCTCTCGGTTCCTCTTTTTCGAGTTTTCTTTCTGTTCCTGGAAATAGTCGAACGCACAAAGGTTCTTATTTTTCTTGTTTCGACGAGGATTTAGAGATCGAAATGTGGAATATTTTCTAGCAAAATGCTACCCCAAAGCCAAGCAAATTTACGTTTATCTCACAATTATAATAGAGACGAAACGTCCCAACGAGAGTACCTTAAAATCCTCTCTTTACAAAACACCTTTTCATTGGGTCTACGACATTATGCAACGGAGGGTTAATTGCGCGGAACCGAAATAAACAAATAAACCAGTCGCATGGGTGATCGTAAAATGTTTATTACGGCAATCACTCTGGCCTCCCCTTTGTCAGTCACAGTAACAATCGAGTGCATCTTTACCGCGCTAGCGTGGGCGGGGGGAGGGCGCGCGGAGCAAAGGATCAAGGGAAACAAGCGAAGAGAGAACAGGGTAGAACAAGATTGCGTTTACCATCCCCGTGGACCTTTTTCTCGCGATCCACGGCCGCTTTAATGCCACCGCGTCCGGATTGAATTTAAATATTTCTTCGGCCGACGAACTCTTTCACGAATTGCTCTGTCGTAAAAGGTCTCCATCGCCCCCCCCCCCCCCCACACCCCACGTGGATCGTTTTGCCGCGAACCGCTGCTTCATTGGGATTGGGGAGCATTATGAAATCGTTGTGCGCCGTGTTGAAGACCAATAAAACTGCACGGGAAATTAATGTCAGCTGGCAGTTTCGCCGTGGAATCCAACGTAGTCATATTCGCGACCAATTGGGGAAACCGTGGTGAACTAAATAGACAAAGTCCGTATATTTTCGTATTTACGAGTAGCCTGGAAGTGCTACTTTGAATTTGCAAGAATATCGACTGAAAATTGAGTCTTAGTTAAGTCCTAGATTGCAAGTTAACAAATTGTTGCCCACGTCATAGATCTAGTCATACCCATGTCCATCGCTGGATATCCCATGTATTCGATCCAAGTCCCTCCTACCTAACATCGGACAATCAACACGTTACTTTAAGTGTTCATCTCCCATGTACACCTTCACCCATAGACACGTCGATTAAACAACCAAACGAGTCTGACGCCCACTCGTCTTTTTGCAGATATCAGCAGAGAGCCGGAAGAAGAGAGCCGGTTCTAGAAGAGCCGTGCTCCAATAAGCTTCCAGTTGGGTAGGCTTACAAAGCTTTTGTTTTTCGTTGTGGGAAGCTGTTGGTGGGCTCGTCGGGCCCACCCTCTCATCGGTCAAGCTGGCGAGCGCTCTAACCGCTGGTATGAACCCCCACCATCCGGGCCACTCCGCAGCGTACCCGCATCATCCCTCGCTCTCGAGCAGTCCGCACCATTCCGGGCCTCATCACGGCTACAGCACCGGAGGCGGCGGTGGTGGGGGCGGTGGCGGCGGCACCACCACCACACCAGACTTGCCAAGTCCTCATTCGCCGCCCCACGGGCCGGCCATCGACCCAGCCACCCCGTACGGGTCGATGCAACAGGGCCAGGGCATGGGCAGCAACGGGCATCATCATGGCGGTGCGGGAATGATGGCCGATCATCCACATCACCCGGGACACCCTCATCCACACTTACCAGGACACCCCGCTTACCCACCGGTCAACCACAACAACAACTGTACAATCAAGGTAAGGCTTCTTCGATACTTTGAACTTGACCCACCAAAAATTCGCACCTCGTTTGCATATAACCAAATTGCTTGGAGTGCAAAGGGTCAATATTTTCCAGTGCCACACCATTCGCACCACTTCCTCGAATGTATAATAATCAAGTGGCACACCTGTGACATTCACTCGTTCGCCAGGTGTCGGGTAATTAACGAAACAAATTGAGTTAGGATCCCCCGTTAATGACCCTAGTTGAGTGCCCCCGCCACGATTCCGTCGCGAGGAACGCCTCGTCACAGAACGCTTCGTATCGGGAACGGTGCCCCGCGTACGATTAAAATGCACTTTCTACGGTGGCTCGTCGCGCGAGGATGATCACGAGAAAAAGTTTTCAACCGGACGCACCTGGAACGAGTACGTACCGCATTGTTCGCGTAATAACCGCCGTCGGTCGTTTATTACGTAAGCCTACTACGCGGCCGTGTAATTCCACGTCAACTAATACGCGCTCGTGATCTCTGGAAATGTTAATCGCGCGAAAAATCGTGAACTTGAACAATTCGACGAATGTAGAACCTCCTGTCCCGAAAGAAAAACCAGGAACATAAAACGAGGATGATAGGAATTTTTTTCGCTGGGTTGTTAGGGAGTTGAAGATAGTTCGAAAGATAATTTCTTAAGGTAGAAAGGTCGAGGGTGAAATGATTTTTGAAAGTTGGAATGGCATACTATCTTCGAAGTAGAGACCTTTGATGTGTAATTTGGTATATTTTCATAGGTGAACTTATTATTGTAACCACTGTGTTGACTGTTGTTTTGTCGAGGCTGTTAGATCTGTGTGGTTATTGAAGTTGATTCTGCCGTGGTTTCTTCTGTTTCTGTTTCTATAATAGGATCTTCTATTTCTTCCTCCTGAATCCATTTCAATGAAAAATTCAAACACATCAAACTTCATTCATGACATTTCGCCACAAAAATAGTCTCAGTTGCATAGGCAAATATTCACTGAAAATTCAGTAAAATTAAACAAATAGAAGCCAATATAAATACTCCTTCCAAACATGTGCTCAATACCCTACGACCGTGGCACGTCCAATGCCTCGAACACCTACCCTCTCACCCTAGCCTAGACTCCGACTACCTTCACCCTCGACACACGGCCTTTAGCTGATGATCCTGACGATCCTGTCAACAAATCAACGCGTCCCGAAACGGCTTTCCACCCGACGAAATCGTCGCAACGCACAGGTGGGCTGACGGACGAGTCGTAACGGCAGGTCTCGACCAGCTCGCGGGATCATAATCAGGAGAGAAGCCTAGAGAGCTGCGCAGGGTCGCAGGCTAAAATTCAGAAGGCATTACCCGTCCGCGTGACCCTCACTTAGCTCGCCATTGACAAACGTAACAATATAGGCATTTACCATGGAGAAATATAATTGAATAGGGGCGGAGGGAACCGGCGAGGAACCCAGGGGTCCCCCCGTTGCCCCTTTCCACGAAGCCCCGAGTTCCCTCCACTCCCGTCCATCGCGTCGTTTCACTCCATAATACACCTGGCGTCTCTCTCGCTCCCCTACCATCGTCTCCGTTGTCCTCGTCCTACCTGGTCGGAGCTATGGATGGGTCCCGTCCCCTTTCAACGTTAGTTAGGTCCTTTCTAGGCTCACCTTTTTATTCCCCCCACCCGGGTTCTCTCTTGGCTGACCGGGGTACCTGAACCCAGGGGCCTCGCGAGGCATTCAGGCCCAAAGCAGCGGCGGACCAGTCAGTTCACTGTTGACTTCGGTCGGGACCGGTTCGCTTTTTCCTATCCTCACGGCGCGTGCTCTCTCGCGTCTCTGCCTCTCCTGTACACAGTGCTGGATCGTTGCTTCTCGACTTTCGGAACCTGGATCCTCGAAACCTTGCGTGTCTGATCTCTATCTATCCGTCGTTCGTAACCTGGGATGTGCTCCGAAAGTTGGAGACCAGTGGAAACCCGCACTCCGACGGCTACGCTGCTCCGTCGCGTCGCGTAGTATCCCTCGGTTCGTGGAAAGGTGTCGCGGTTCGGTGGAGGATCGCTGTGAAATCCTTTTCGGATGGTTCGAGGATCGTGAACGCGGGTTCACCCAGCGGTTTCTCGGGTGAGCAAGGTGCGATACCCGCGAGTGGGAGAAGCGAGAGTGTCGCTAGGAGATCCTCACTCGAGGACGAATGATATCATTGGCCGAGTGAGCCCGCGTGAGAGGACACGAAGGAGTCTTCGTCGCCAGGTTTTTCGGAACAACGTTCAACGGACATCGGGTCCTGGATCATGGAGGTTCACGCGCACCACTACAACGCCATCGCGACGCGGATGAACCAGATGAAGTGTTTCCCTGGAGACAAAATTGTAAGCGAGTCCTCTGCTTTAACGTGGATATTGTTGTGCACGGTGGCCAGTGGTATCGGTAAATGTTGCTGGGAACAGTGGGGCTAATTAAAGTGAAGTGCTGCGGAGAGAAAGTCTTCGGAGAGATTCTAATTTAATTTATTTGACTCCGATTTGGGTCTATTTAAAGCCTTTACTAGGATTCACGGCGTACGTCTTGTACATACGTATTTTATTCGGTATTTTGTTGAAAGGATAGGTCCGTAATTTTGCTACCCCTAGTTAGATAGGGTCCAGGTTCATTTTTCAAGTTTATATCCCCTGGGGCTAACCCTTTCGAACTACCATTGAATGGAAGTTATTTTCTAATCCCCAATACTTTGAAGCAATAAGTAAAGTTTTATGCCTTGCACCATATAACAATTTTCGAAGCACCGTTTTATTTCGAATTTGAGCCCTAAATTTTAAAGATTAGCTCGATTCGCGTCCTGCAGTCTCGTGCAAGTCTCTTCCACGGACGAGGCACCGCGGAACAGCGAGTCGCGGATAATCGTTCAATATTTACCGCTTTTAAAGTTCCCCAGCTACAAATTCCGAGCATCGTCGTTGGAATTTCGCCGCGTTTCCACCAGACCCGTATCGGATTTGACTTTAGCCAAGGCAAATTGCTTAAACGACTCCGGTAGTTTCGATTGACTTGATTTGTCTCGATACTCGACTGTTTCCGATTACGACGTTGCATTAATGGTATCAGGGCCGATCGAAGTTTGCACTGGCCGCATTGTGCCTCGTCGTCCCGCTGAAATACATATTCATCGTTCCATGTTGCTCAATGGAAGACAATGCGAGCCTTATTTTCGCCTCCCTCGCGAATACTATCGTTATTAGGCCGGTCGTAGGACGCTAATTGAATGCTTGCAACCGGCGAGCGATCGTGCGACAAATCGCACGATTATTCAATCGCAAAATTAAATATTTTTCATTGAAATTTTTAATTTCTGTCGAAGAATTGTTTACCCACAAATACTTTACTCCATCTAGAGATTGTAATTTTTATTCGAAGCGAGGATTAAGCGTTGTTTGTTTTATTCGTCGTTTGAAAATGGCTACCTTGAACCCTTCCGTGGTGTCGTATCGATTAAAGTCGCTCGATATTTCGCGAGATCGGAGTGCCGATAAGGCGTACGCGACCGTGAGCAAATTACAGCGCAGGTTCGAGTTGAAAATTTCCATTGGATCACGGAATTCTCGTACTCGGATTGCGCAATAAGCGAGCTCGCTCCTTTTAGCGTGACGTCCGATGATCTAGACAATCCGAGCAAAACAATTAGCAGTACAGGCATAGTTCAACCTTATTTAGCGTTAAACGTTTCTATCCTGGTATTGAACTGTCTTTGGTAACTGTTTGTGTCATTGATTAACCCGAACAATTTTTTTTTATATCCAACTAACTTTTCTATTCATCTTTTCCAATCAATTTAGTATTTATTATTTCTCATTACGTTTATACTCGAGTTATGTTATTATTTAATATCACCTTATATCGAATAGGAAGTTCCCATCAGATAAATTACCTTCTCGAAAATTGAATCATAGAGCCACTTCGAATCTAAACTTAGAATAATTATTCTGAATTAGATATAAGGAACAGAAATAAATTATGGATTATTAAATTATGACCTCATGTTCTATACGATACGAAAGTTGTATCTGTAACTCGCAATTACGTAATCCCGTTGTTGTTTTCTAGCTACTATTTCGTTCGAGTACTTCTTGTGCAACTCATTCTTTTTATAAAAAAAAAAAAAATGTCCAATTATAATATTTGATTTTTTTTAATCCATTAATAATTTCCATTCTTTTGCTATTATAGAAAGCAAAATCTTTGAAATTTCTTAGGTAGCAACGCAATATTTCACGCATGATGTCTGTTTGTTAAGGTTTCTGTGAAGTTATGCAATGATATTTGCAAAGAAACGTGCGGTCTGGCGTTGATCACGGTGAAAGGCGATTTCTTTCCTCTCCGCTAATGACGGTCGTGTTTCATTTAATCTTATATTTAATTGATTTTAGTTTTAGTTATCTGATTTTATAATAGTGGTCCATAACGGAATTGAGTTCATAAATTCTCTCAGGCCCACCTTACAGAAATACACTCCCTTAAAAATAATATTCTTTCGTTTAATATCAGTTATTTAAACAAGAAAAAATAATCAGTCTAATGGCATTACAATAAAGAATGGTTTAATGAAATTTTATCTAACAGGTTCTTTCAGACTAATTCCTACGAATGTAATCAATATTTTTATCAGTTATTATTCTCCGCGAGTATTATTAGCCGAGCCACGTCGTACTTGTTTGTCGTGGTTCCTACACATATAAGAAACCGATTTCTGGGAGATATTTAATATTCCCGGCGTCATCCCGTTCCCAATATCGTGGATTATATTTTAATTAACGTGAATATATCATCGCAATTAATCTTGATTGACCGTCTGTTCCGCTCTTTACCTTCTTAATTAAATTCGTCGCTTCTAAAATGTCTTAAACCAGTTTCGCAGAGTGGCTTGGTTGTTCCTATTGATATCGTACACGTGATAATCTTCATTAGGCTATCTGATGAATTCTTTATTAATATACCGTCAGGAATGAATATTTAGCTTCCTTATATTCGGACGAATCGGAGCGCCTCAACCATAAGCGAGTGGCGCCACTGTGGCGGTGCCTCTACTGCGCAAGCTCGATGTGCTCCGAAACAATTAGAGTTCCCGCGCTTTACCTAATTTCCAAAAAAATCTTTACTCTAATGTGGTTTAAAAATTCCAGTAGCATGTTAAGAAGAAACTCATACTTTCTAAAAAAAAAAATTAACATTTTTATGAAAATTGGGAAAACCATAGTTCAAAGTACATACTTTTAATCCATCTATAAAATATTTTTATCGAACATTTAGCATCGTCAGAAAAAATTCTTCAATTTTTTTTTTGATCAATGCACCCTCTCCTCTCGACCAATGTTGATCTAATTTAAATTTTCCATCGAACAAAGGCCACGTTCGTTACTACTTTATATAACTCTCTTCTGTTATGATATCGAACGATGTAAATGAACAAAAACTTCTTGTTCCGCGATCGGCCACGTCTGCGGCGTTTTTCGAAAGACTTCTTTTCCATTGCACGCGCTCGTCTCGCAGCCTTCGCGCTTAATAACGCTCAACGCGTTACAAAATAGCTCGGTTACGAGCGGGCTGTAAAAGAACAGGCTCCTATCGGAGCAGGCCACGAAGAAATTGCCAAACGAAACGCGCGGGAGCGCTCTTCGTCGTTAACTGTGGCCGCAGAATCAATGTTTGTTCCGCAACTGGATCCAAGTGTGCCTGTGCCGAACTTCTCCGTGCTTTAATATTCAAGCACCAATCGTTCGAATGCTTTCGAGTATCAAATACTACATAAAAATTAACGGAGAGTTTGATTATTATTTAATGGAATTAGGAAAGCGGAATGAAAGACGAGATGAGGGAAGAATGATTTAATTAAATAATGGAAGAGTTAAGATTTATTAGTTATTTAATTGTTACTTTGCTACAGAGGCAAAGCTATTTGAAGCTTTTCTCCGAATTTGTACGAACAACGAATCTATATCAGAGGAACAAAAAACATGCTAGGGGTCAAAATGAATGAAACTTAAATATAAAATTTCATAAATATTAATTCAACTTGTGCAAATATCAAAGTACACTAGTATAATATGCATTTCGTCCTTATGAAATTTAAAGAACCAGCCATCATCCCCGTTTCTACATTTAAACTGTTCGAATGGACTCTCAACTACAGTAACAAGTCGTATTTGGTCACGTCGTTCTAGCTTAAAATTCGACGCGTTTCCGCGAGCCCGATGGCGATGATTTCCGCGGCGTTTATCGGCCGAGTCGTATATTTTAATAATCAGCCACGTCGGCCACGATTATTCACGCTTACTGGCGTTTACATAATCGCGACTAAGTGTTCGCGAAGATTGCCGGAGCTGACGCTGCGCGTTGATTTATCGCCAGTTAATGACTTTCGATTCCGTATTAATTATAGGAATGCGCTACGGTTCCTGTTAATAGAAGCCCCCGGTGGTCGCGGGCTCGCCTCGCGACAACCTGTTATTATTTTCAACAATTTAGTTGCATAATCGGCCAATGGACACGCGGCGTAAACTTCTGCGCGGTCTTCGTCCCGTTTCTGGCTGAGATTCTTCCGTTTGCGGCAATAACGGTTCAATCTTGGACACCGACGAGTAACACTGTGCCTTCGTTTTTTCAATTAAAAATTACAAAATTATATTATATCTCACGTTTAACCGATGAAAGTACCAACAAATTGTTGCGAGGTGATTCTGTTACTTATCTATTTTTGGATGAGAATTTTAACGAGCTACAAGCGCGCACGACGCTGAATATTATCAACTGATAACTAACACACAGAGAGAAATTAATTTTCCCTTGCAATTGCGACTGTTACGCAATGTTTTCCGTCCTTGTCATTAAAGAAGTTTAATAACTCGGTGTATTAATAAATATTATGCTTACAAATTGAATTAATTTGGGCTTGCAACTGAGCCAAGCAGAGTTCGAGAGTCAACCGAGAGTTGTAGCAGCACGATGGGCGAAGTGCTTTCGAGGGCAACTTTTTATGATTCCCAACTAGTGCCCTTTCATTTTGCGGACTTTCGGTACGGTGACAAACGCATTTCTACGTGCTTCCGTGCGGGTATGTAGAGGGGGAAAAACACTGTTCAGCAGGTTATTTCAACAAATTAGTTTCCACTTTGTTGCGTCAGTCCACGAAATTCTCTCGTTGCAATCTCACAAAGAGGAGCAGTTGAAATTACTCGGTAACTTCGTTCACCTACAATTACGTGAAGCGGGTATTGTTCGAGAAGTTACTGTGAATTAGAATTGAGGGGTCAGGGAAATATTAATTACGAATTTTTTTTTTATCGTATGTACTTGTTGGGTACACGTAAAGGCGCACGCAGTAGTACGTATACGTACATTCAAACTAATAATTAAGATACTTGGAAATATTGAATTGAGAAAGCTTGAGAAATTGATTTTTCTTGGTATTTATTTTGACTGTTTCATAATTGGTAATGTTTTGTATTGGACTTTTCTTTTATTGTTAGGGATGATTCCGGTTGATTGACTCTGGCTTGAAACAGAATAATTAAAATTTTAAACCAATGATCTCCAAGATTATTATGGAATAATTTTCCCTATCGTAATATTAAGTTTGCTGGAATTACCAAGAAAGATCAATGTTTTCGGACGCATTTGCTAAGTGGGAGTAGATAGTAAAACGTGGGTTGTCCTTTCTGTTGCAGCAAGAAGGTGGTCCAAGCGGACCAACCGGAATCCAACAGTGCGCCGGTTGCGGCGGTCAAATAGTCGAAAGATGGCTGTTGCTGGCGATGGATCGGTATTGGCACAACAGTTGCCTGAAATGCTCCTATTGCGGCGCAGCATTGGCGGAAATCGGCCACTCGTGCTACACCAGGAGCGGCATGATCCTCTGCAAAAGCGACTACAGAAGGTAAGACCTCTCTTACGTGGCTTCTTTTAGTCTCTCTTGAACCTCGAGCAAACACAGCTCCTAAGACACCCTACTTGCATTCAAGAAGACTATTTATGAAATATTTCATTAAGAAAAAAGGTTTTTATTATCAGAGATAAAATTTCATGGAATTTATTCTTAATTGATACAAAAAATGACATTTGAGAAAAATGGTTATTTATATTTGATTTCATTAGGAAAAATAAGTTTCGTGGATACTCACAAAGTAGTCTTATTAATTAATGTCATATAGCCATAGTGAAATAGTCTTGAATATTTTTATAACAATCGGGAGCAGTGAAAGTTTAGAGGTTTGCAGAGAGACGAAGAATCTAAGTTAAGCAGTTCGCGGAAAATGTAGGAATTAGCGATTATAAGTTCACGAGTACTGGTGGCTATCTAATTAACGATAGATAATGATGGACGTGATTTGTTCTACTTATAAACGCTTCAATTACACGCGCCATTTCCTGCGCATTGACGATCATCGAGTCGAGATTTATAGGCGCCGAGTATCGAGTAATCAACATTCCGTTCGCGCAAAATGGCTGCAATTTAGGAAGCTGTAACCTTTTACGTTGACACTTAACCGTTGATTACACGCCACTGTTCAAATATTGGTGGTAATAACTTCTTTAATCCGAATGTGTCACGTGGTAACTTGTATCAACATTTCCCATCGATTTTCTAACACCTAGAGTAACCTCCTTCGAGTGATCGATGACTATAGACGTTGATTCGTTTCCTAAACAAAATTCTTAAAACATCAAACCGACAGTTCTAAATTCTTCGTTAATAAGGGTAACGTCGAGTTTTCCAAAGTTTATACGTAAATCAATTTTTTCTGATTGAGCCTTGTAGGAAAGTTTGATTCGTGGCCGTTTGGTTTTCACGAATGAAACTGTATCTGCAGACGAGCTCGTTACCCAGGTGCCACCTTGGCTCGTTTTTCTTTCAAACGATGAGGAAACTTTTGAGATCTGACGGGGTCGCCAGGCGGATCCACCTAATCGGCGGGGACCGTTCCAAATTTAGAAGATTCGAGGTCGAAGCGCAATTTAATGAGAAACAGACGCAGAAGTTAGTTAGCATCTCTGAAAATAGATCGGCACAATCTGGCCCGGGCTGTGTGCACGGAATCTAATGGGTCTGTCCATATTTTTTTCTTCATTGACCTGTTAACTCTCGACGAAACCGACGGCTCTTTTCATCTCTGATTAAAGCTGGGTAATATACGAGCGGGCGTCGCGAGCGAACGAGACGTGAGGCCCGCTACGGGGAACTTTCGAGCATTCGTTTTTGTTAATGATTCTGGTATAATTCGATTAATTTACGGTTAATTGCGCCCGAGAGAGCGGTTTAAATTGACTCTCCACCGGCAGTCTTACCTTTTTCGGACCTGTCCGGAGTAAATAATGACGGAGGTGTGGATTAAAAAATCGTGTCAGGCCCGTTTCTGCAAATTGACGATTTTTAAGCGGAATCGAGATTGGGAATTGAATCGGATGGGGACCATTAATTCGCTCAAACGATGCAGAGATGGGGAGATTTCTTATATGGGAGTAACGCGAGTCTAAACTTAATATAATAATCGAATTTACACTGTGTTTCGAATTAATTTATATTCATTTTTCAAACTTACAAGAAATACAGATATTACGTATAACCAAAAGGTATACGTACTTATGAAAAACGAAATATTGGGATTATTTTATTAATTAATAAAAAATAATTGTTTAAGAGTATGTAAAAATGGTAGCAACTATTTATTAAATAGTAGAAATTCTGCCCTTCGATTTGCATTTTGGAAGAATCGAATCGGATAACTCTATGGTGAGTTACGTCACTTCAAAGGTATATTCATTTTTATTAAAAAACAATTGTTTAAAAGTATCTAACAATTATAACAACTATTTAATAAATAATATAAATTCCAACCTTCAATTTGCATTTTGGTAGAATGAAATTGGACAATTCTACACCGACTAACAACACTTTAAAGTTTCCTATTTAATAGGCCTATTTAATAGTAATATATAGATTGATTCATTGATTGACCAGTGACCTACATACAACGTCCTTGCAAGGCCGATGCAATTCCAAGAAATAGTAGTAAGCATTGTAGTAGTATTTCCTGGAAGAAAAACCCCTCTAAATTCTCAGAAATAGTAGTAAACATAGTAGTATCTCCGGAATGGGAAAACCCCTTTTTAGTCTTTAGAAGAGATGCAAATTTATTTATTGATTCCACTTAAGCGGTTTTGATGAAATTTGGTATACGGGGGTTTTTGGGGTTGCTGATTCCAAATCTAATCTCAAAATCTACAAATTCAAAATGGCGGCTCTAATACGGCAGGACAAAATGCGAAAAGTGATACAATTTGGATGAAACTTGGTATCCAGGGATTTTTGGGGTCGGTGATTCCAAATCTGAACTAAAACTTTAGAAATTCAAAATGGCGGATCCAATACATTGACTACAATGAGAAAAGTGATTCGATTCGGATAAAACTTGATATAAAAAGAGTTCCTCCACTCAGAACCAACATCTGAAAACCAAAACAATGTCAGCACTAACCTACCTAACGTATCGCGATAAAAAAATCGTTAACCTAAATAATTCCATTTTCTTTGTTTCTCTTTATCGCCAGCTTTCCAGGATTTGATTCCAGCGCGATACGATGGTGGTTATAAGATTTTCCCCGAGCATTTGTATTCTTCGTCGACGTCGTCTTTCCCGTCGGTACGATCGGCGGACTCGTCTGCAGCACACGTACGCCCTAATCTGTTAGCACAGTCGAACGATTTAGTCTAGCGTAGTATCAATATTTGATTACGAGGCGTCTCTGTCCCGCATGCCAGAATTGGAGACGGAATCGTCCACGTCCATATGTCCACCGAACAGAGGTGGACTCCTTCGTATTTCCGGAAGTCGGATGTCGTGGTGGAAATCGATCCGTGCACACAGCGCGAGAAAAACGTCTCGTTAATTGCGACCAACGTCGTCCGTCTCTCTACGGTGATGCGAAATTCGGGAATACATCTTGATTCCAAGGACGGGGTTGATTTTTTGGGAATGGGTTCGCTCGGTGTCTGACGATGTAATCTTTTTTACCGCTAGCTTTCGATGGGAATCCGTCGAGGACGCGATTGGTGGGAGGGGAGGCGAGATTGGAACTTCCGTTTCGAGACAAGTTTATGTCGAACGGGGTGAAAACGCGACCTTCTATTAAATTTTATTTATTCGTAGGTTAGGAGTTGTTAGCACAATGTGATGCAAACGAATCATTTTTAGAATTTTCTAGAGGTAGTTTCTGCTTCAAACTTCACATTTCCGACACCATAGATTTCTAAAATTAATTCTAAATTACCACTACCAAACGTCAGATTAGGTTCGTCCCCGATCCAGTTAGCCTCTCAAAAACGTCCACGAAAATTATTCCGCGTTCAAGCACGTTCGTTAAAGAGGAGACACCCCATGGACGCGACACCGCGAAAAATCGGTGCCCCTTTGTCGGAATCAGCCGCGACAAGGCGTGCGGCCCCCTCGCCCCTCGGCTCGCGACGTTTCTACCGTCGGGAAGAAGCGTTGCCCCGAAATTTCGATCGGAAAACAAGCCGCTATCCGAATTGAGAGAAGTAGCACTCCGAGCGGAGTGACGCGACAGAAGCATCGACATCAGGCTTGCGGTAGGGGGTTGCTACAAGGGGAAAAACCGAGAAAGAAGGACGCACGCTCGGGGTGGGAAAAAGAGCGAGGATCGCTGCATCGACGGCGGGAGGAGGGTCGGGAAAAGAGGAACGCGTATCCGGCTAGACGGAGAGCCGACGATCGAACCGGGTGAATGGGGTAGCGAAGGGGTGAAAGAGAGGAACGATCCAGGAGACACGGACTATAGCGGAAGAGAAACGCACGAGAGAAACAGACAGGGCTGGAAGGGTGGAGGAGAGGACGGAGAGAAAAGAGACAGTAGAGAGGCAGGCAAGGGTAGGAGGTAGTGGTTCGTTTCTTTTGGATTCAAGGAATGTTTCAATCAGTTTGATTGAAGGGCTGAGCCACGGCAAGAGGGTAAACTCGATTTACAGCCGTGCAGGAGGGGTACCGGGGGCTAGAGGAAGATGGGGGAGTTTGGGTAACGTTGGTATGGGGGAGAACGGTTGGTGCCACGGCGGGGGCGCGGCGGTAGTTTCGGGTGGGGTAGAGGCAGAGGGTGGCGGGTGCCACAATCACCGAGATGCGTCCAATCACCCCCAGCCTCCAACGCCATCGGGTTTCGGGCGCACGGACGAGGGCTGAAGGGATTGAAGGTGTACGGAGGGCGAAGGGGCTGGGGTTGCGGAGTGAAGAGAGCGGCCAATCATCGCTCGGCTTTCCGCTGGAGCGACGTCGTCGTGGTGCTGGTTTGGCCTAGATGTGCAATCAGACCGTTTCAGACCATCTCTCCGTGTCTCTCTTTCTCGGTCTCGTCGTCTCGATCCGTCTCGGTTCTGTCCGTCCGCGTCTCTCCCTCTCGCCTTCATTCTTTCGCTTTCTCTGTCTCCTGCACCCCTTCACGGGGGCTGCTCTCCGCTGTCTCTCGCTCGCTCGCCCCGCTCCGTCTTTCTGGCCGAATACCAAATTCCAGCAATTTGGTAGGTGGGTACTTTGTTGAATCAACATGATTGGGCTTGACGGAGCCCGGCGACAGGGCGCTTCGTCTGGTCGTGCCGCGATTCCAGCCGCCTGGAAGACGACGACGCGCGGACGACGCGTCTCCGACGACGGGAGGGTCAACCCTTTCGCGGACAGATCGGTTCGCAGGTTGCAATTCAGTTAACTTTAACACGAGTCAGGCACGTCGTATGAAAGGGCGCAAGGAATTTTATATTGGAGCTACTGGTAACGAAATTTAAATATAATTCGGAGTGCAAAGGGTTAAGGTTACCCTTGGAAAATTACAGAAGCAAAAACGCATGCAATGTCCAATATCATCACCTTG